AACTATATTTTAAAATTATAATATTAATTATTTTTATTTTTATATTAACTCAAATTAAAAATCAACCTAACATATAACCCTAATCTAATAATTATTTTTATTCTCATATTAACCTATAAAGTTAAATTTTATATTGATTCTTTTAATTAGTGATACAACCTCATCTCTAAGTCAATTCATAATTGAGTCACTACTTATTAATTAAGTTGATATGTTAAAAACAAAACTTTAGATTTAAAAAAACAAAAAAACATGGATAAAATCCCTTATTTTTTCTTTAATTTTTTTCTTCTGTATAGAATTAAACAAGATTGACCTACTTTAGCGGAACGAAAATTTCTCCATCAAAACAGCTTAATGTCTCCATTTTAGGACCATCTACGCGCAAATGATAGGCTATAAGCTTCTGCTACCTCGTTATGTAAAACAAGTAAATAGAGAATACAGAAATAATTCGCAGTGGATTCCCAATACTATCAGCTCAATATTAGATGGAAGTTGAGAGATTAAAACAGAGAAAATACATTTAAATTAGATCGGGAAAATAAACTGGGTTCTTCACAATAGAGCCACTTCCCACTCGGCAAGTGGACAAACAGGGGTAGAAAACAAAACCAAGCCCGAATTAACCATAACAAAAGCCAGTAAAGGCAACTAACATGAAACCCTTGTAGAAAATGTTCCGGGAGAATTTCAATCAATCTACTTCCTCAATCTTAGGGCCAGCACCGCTGCCACCAGTCGATGGAATATCTTCATCCATGCTGCCACCCATGTCAGGACCAGCGCCTTGATACATCTTGGCAATTATAGGATTGCAAATGCTCTCCAGCTCTTTCATCTTGTCCTCGAATTCATCAACCTCCGCAAGCTGGTTGCTGTCCAACCACTGAATGGCCTGATCAATTGCATCCTCGATTTTCTTCTTATCAGCTGGGCTAAGCTGGGATCCAATCTTCTCATCCTTCACGGTGTTTCTCATGTTATAGGCATAATTTTCCAAGGCATTTTTAGCTTCAACCTTTTTCTTGTGTTCCTCGTCCTCAGACTTGTACTTCTCAGCTTCCTGTACCATTTTCTCAATCTCCTCCTTCGACAGCCTTCCCTTATCATTAGTGATTGTAATCTTGTTCTTCTGGCCAGTAGTCTTGTCCTCAGCGGAGACGTTCAATATACCATTGGCATCAATATCAAAGCACACCGTGATTTGAGGAACACCCCTTGGTGCTGGAGGAATGCCAGATAGCTCAAATTTGCCCAGTAAGTTATTGTCCTTTGTTCTTGCTCTCTCACCCTCAAAAACTTGGATCAAGACACCAGGTTGGTTGTCCGAATAGGTGGAGAACACCTGCTCCTTCTTTGTGGGGATGGTGGTGTTTCTTGGAATTAAAACAGTCATAACACCTCCAGCCGTTTCCAATCCCAGAGAAAGAGGAGTGACGTCCAAAAGTAGCAAATCTTGTACCCTCTCATTGCCCTCACCACTCAAGATTGCAGCCTGGACAGCAGCACCATAAGCAACAGCCTCATCAGGGTTAATGCTCTTGCAAAGCTCCTTCCCATTGAAAAAGTCCTGCAACAGCTGCTGCACCTTGGGGATTCTAGTGGAACCACCAACAAGGACCACGTCATGTACAGTGCTCTTGTCCATCTTAGCATCCCTCAAACACTTCTCTACAGGCTCCATACACTTCCTGAAAAGATCCATGTTAAGCTCCTCGAATCTAGCACGTGTAATAGTCGTGTAGAAATCAACCCCCTCAAACAGGGAATCAATCTCTATGGTTGTCTGAGCAGTGGATGAGAGAGTTCTCTTAGCCCTCTCACAAGCAGTCCTCAACCTCCTTAGAGCTCTGGGATTTCCACTAATATCCTTCTTATGTTTCCTCTTAAACTCCTGAACAAAGTGATTCACCATTCTGTTGTCGAAGTCCTCACCTCCAAGGTGGGTATCTCCAGCAGTAGCCTTCACCTCAAAGATACCCTCTTCAATGGTAAGAAGAGAGACATCAAAAGTACCACCGCCCAAATCAAAGATGAGCACATTCTTCTCGCCAACAGTCGTTGCCTTCTTGTCAAGACCATAAGCGATAGCAGCGGCAGTGGGTTCGTTGATAATACGCATGACATTTAGGCCGGCAATGACACCAGCATCCTTCGTGGCCTGCCTTTGAGAGTCATTGAAGTAAGCAGGGACAGTAACCACCGCATTATTGACAGCGGTGCCAAGGAAAGCCTCAGCAATCTCACGCATTTTAATGAGAACCATTGAAGAAATCTCCTCAGCAGCAAATTGTTTCTCCTCGCCCTTGTAAGTAACCACAATCATAGGCTTGTCACCAGGACCAGCAACGACCTTGAATGGCCAGAGCTTGATATCATTCTGAACTGAAGGATCGCTGAATCTCCTACCAATCAAACGCTTTGCATCTGCGATTCACGTAAAAAATACGCCATCAGTGACCAGCATACTTGTAGAATTAGTGCACAACCACAACAAGAATTGACAAAAAGAGTTGTTAATTGTTTTAGATCCACTATTATTCTGATCCCCACAAAATTATCAATCCGGTGACTGTCTGGTTCACACTAATCTAATACACTTCATTTTTATTCTCCCAACCAATAAACCATAGATAAATCCTAATCAAATATCAATTTTCCAGAAAAGATTCATTTAATTTTGTGCTTGACCACACACCATGTTTCTCTATATATTAAAAAAATTAATCACACATAATTAGGACAGGACATTTGTGATCTATCCTAATCCTTCGCCAAATCAAGCGATTGATACTAAGAACCTATAAATCCACACCTTAACTCCAAGATGATCAGTAATTTCACATTAAGCTCTGCCTTTAATTCTGTCACTGTAGTCGCAACTGCTTCATCCGTGGTATGTAAATAAAAAAATAAATTCAAAGCAAATTCCAATTTTTCAAACAGTCTAAAACAACAAACAAATATATGATCCTACACGATTAAAAAGGAAAAGAAATGAAGTTTTGAATTAATGTCCTCACCAAAGACGGTGTTGATGGGATTCATGGCGACCTGGTTTTTAGCAGCATCGCCAATCAAACGCTCAGTATCAGTGAAAGCAACATATGACGGTGTCGTTCTGTTGCCTTGATCATTAGCTATGATTTCAACCCTGTCATGCTGCCATACGCCGACGCATGAGTATGTTGTGCCTAGATCGATACCGATCGCTGGCCCTTCTCCTTTTCCTGCCATTGTTGATTTAACAAAATATACTACAAAGCAACGACTAAGATTAAGATCAAGAACACAGAATTATTTTACGCTTTATGACTTCTGAAAGACACTGGATGTTGAAGTGGAAAGAGCCCTTTTTATGCATGTTTTTTTGGGTTTCCAGAAGAATCGATTAGTGAAATATGAGTGGTTGGATTTAAGATATTAATAGCCGGTAAGTTTCTCGTTGGTTCGTGAAGTTTCTTTTTTTCTACTTTATATATCTTCCTTGCGTCAAAGACACGGGAACCAAATCTAGCTTCTTCCCGCGTGATCCTGTATTCGTTTTCAATTGGAAAGCCCGATCAATATTGGGCTCATAACTAGGCAGCCCAACACTCCTTTAATTCAAGGGCCCGGCTCCCCTTGAATCTCCCATTCATGTTTATTTTGCAGCAAACCTAAAACAAGAAACCCAAAGCCCATGGGGACAATCTCTATTACATATCTCTACGATTTATTTTTCTTTTATTTATACTCTCCTAGGCTTTAATCCTACCCAACAAGGCATCTCCTATTGCTCTTCAAAGTAATTATTGTTCAGAGATATATTAAAATAATTTATTTTTTATATTAAAATTATTAATATAATTAATTTAGTTAAAAATTAAAAAAAATAAGTTTTTGTGAAGGACTTCTTGGGCTGCCGACATCTTTTTTATTTAATAAATAAGTTGAAGTTATTAGAACTGAAATCGGTTTTACTGAGGTTATATTTATTTATTTAATAAATAAGTTGAAGTTATTAGAACCGAAATCTGTTTTACTAAGGTAATATTTATTTTTTGAAAAATTACTTTTCACAACTTTTTTATATTTATTTGTTATTAGAAATCAACTATTTATTTATTATTAGAAAAGTTGATCAACGGAAAATATTTTTCAGTCAATGAAAAACATTTTTCAGTTAACGGAAAACACTTTCTGATCAATGAAAAATATTTTTCAGTTAAAGAAAAATTTGACTTGATTTTCAGAAAAATATTTTCCTCTTTAGCTGTTGACTTGATTTTCAGAAAAGTATTTTTCTCTTTAACTATATTTGTTTTTTGAAATATGATTTCGAAAGAAAATATTCAAAAAAGAATTAATAAAATACACGATCACTATGTAAATTTTAGCTCATAAATAAGAAATTTGTGTGAGTTTTCTTTCCGAGAATATTCAAAAGTTGATGGCATTTTTTAGGAGTAAAAATGTTTTTGATATAAAAAATTATTTTTAAAATAAAATTAACGTCCGTTCATTTCAAGAACATTCTTCTCAAGACTGGGAGAGAGGCACTGTTTTGAAATTTTTTGTGGTTGTAGACATGAAGCAATTCTTTTTGTTACTATAATCGATTAGAAGTAATTCACAGCAATTTATGTAAACACGCCCTTCAAAATAATATAAGATTCCGATCAAATACGAGAAGGAAACTGGCCGCATTCATACACTGGCAACATTCTCATGTGCAGGAGGATGACCGTTTAATTACCTTTGATGTTCATTTTAGTGATTTGCTTTTCCGGGAGGTGGAACAGCGTGTTAGTTTCCTGCTTGCTCTTTGTTAAGGTTTTCAGGCTATTCTATATGATCTCCTGGCCTGGTAATGTGGTTTTGTATCTTTGTTGTCGATCTTGATGGTTAATGAGACTACCAAAGTATAAGAAAAACGCACGTCATATGCAAGATGCTGGAGCAGCAGGACTTCCAGTAATGAAATAGAGATCGTGCAATGTGCTTAAATTGTGAAAAGTATTCATATCTCAAAACCTAACAATATCATTATCAATTTCTAGAAGAAAATAGATTCTTCTGCAAGTTTGCAGTGGAGATGTTTCATATCTAAAACATTTGACCTACAAATGGCACCATCTCTTTTATTGATTGAGCAAGAAAAGGCTTTCTCTCCAATCTCAGACATGGATAGAAGATCTGTGCCGATTTCCGATGGGGCTGGGGCCTGATGGAGCCTTGTGAATAGTGTCTTTGAACTTGGTTCTGGATTTCTGCAATAAATGGAAAGGGGGGTGATCAGTTTCCACCATAGAAATTATAAGTGTAATTAAGAGGATTGTATGAGGATGCCAGAAATATATGTAGAAGCAAGCACCATACTCACCCAAGAAGCTAGTTTATATCTGGTGGACCTCAATTTTGGTTCTGCATTTTTTAGCCTGGGATCAACTACATGTAGAATAAAGAAGAATGAGTTCATTTGTTCTTACTCCATTCTAAAAAGAAAATTCAGTTTACTTCATCTCATGTGTCATCAAGCTTAGAAGTATAGTTTCTTGCCTGATTTTGCAGCTTGAACCACGATTCCTGCAGAGTAATGACACTGATCAGAAGCTATGAGGAATGCAAGGAGAGCATATGCTAGAATCTGCTCTATCTTCATTTTGGGCACAAGAATACGCAGGGTTGGAGTTACTACTGAACAGGGAAGATAGGAAGTGGGGGCTTAATAAGCATGAAGAACATTATATACTGATTCACTTCATAATTAATCATTGCTCAGTTTGAATCTATGGAAGTTCATTTAAAGTTGTCTGGGAATCCTATGCCATTGTCCATACAGGTTCAAGCTAACGAAGCTAGAAATGTTGATTCTTGTCTTTGTACGTTGACTTTCGCATGGTTAATATTGCGCTAATCATATAAGAAAGCCATCAATTCTGCTGCCCTCCTAGTGCCAAGCCAAAAGCTTGTCACAACAGCTGTGCTAGAGCACTGCTAGTATGAAATGTTGGGATTTTCCATCCAAATTGCTATGCTGCATGCATACTAATTCTCTACTCAGTTTTTTTACAATTTATATATGTTTACAAATTCCACTAGCGCGCTCAGAGCGAAACGCAATGTCTGGTATGCTCAGCTTAGCATTTGAGCGCTGCTTCTTTCCAAGACTCCTCTACTAACAATATATATTGTCCATGATGTGTCTTTCGGGAGCTAATTAGGGTCATCTATTTTTTTTAAACTAAATCAAGCTATCCTGCTCCTGGTGAGAAGAGCGAATACAGTTTCGTAGCTTTTAACTGTGCAGCTGCATGAAAGATTGAAATGGCACCAGGATACTCTTTCAGTAGGCTATCTTCTCTCCATTAGCAGTGATTTTCTAAATGTCAAAAAGCCTGGGCAGCCCTTTCAAGATCCACGGCACTCTACAGAAAACACTCGGTGTATTCTTTAGATGCCTAGAGCGGGACACCACTTGTAAGAGAGAGAGCTTATCCAAGATAATGATGCTGCATCCCCGCTTGACTTGCCAATGAGACGAGTTATAATCATGTAGCTATCACTATTAATAAAGATTTTTTGTCTGCATTGTTCTAGTCTTATTAGGTCATTGATTACATTCTCATTTAGGCTTGTCGATCAAAAGTTGTTTGGCTGCTTTGGATTCCTGTTGTGCTTGTGGTTGACCTCACTCCAGCTTTTTGACACTCCTCGTTCATGAAAGCGCCATGAAAAAACACCTTTATATATATATATAAGATTTTATTGGGGTTTTTGATGGTGCAATTAAATTATTATTTGTCTAAAATTTAAAAAAATAAAATTATTTTTTTCACTATTTTAAAATTATTTTTATTGATGTCAAAACTAAATTTTAAAAAATAAAAATATATATTATTTTAATATATTTTTAAAAGAATACATCTAGACTTGTTTGTGTATGCAAGACTGCAACAATGCTGCCTTTTTTTCTATGTGAGTGTTCAAATTGTTAATAATGTTACCGGATGGTCTTAGTACAAAGTTTTAATTGGTTGAGATTGTTGCCGTGAATTTATAGTACGGTTTTTTTATTAAGAAAAGAAAAATAAGCATATTAAGCTGCAGCTACGCCTATAAATATAATTGATAGGCAACCGTCTTCGATTGATATTGCACTGTGTCTATCTCCAGCTTCTAAAGGTAGCTGCAATCGGTGTAGAAAGTTCGACAGAATTTTGCCATCCAAGCTGTAAAAATCAAATTATCACCATGTTTGTTATTTGAAATTTTTTTTTTAATTTTTTAATGTTTGTTATTATAAAAATTAATCAATAAAAAATATTTTTTAATTAATAAAAAATACTTTTTAATTATAAAAAATAATTTGAAACAAAGAAAGTATTTTATTTTAATGTAAAGTTCCAACGGTTGGTGCTAGAGGTCCCGAGAATTAATTCTCGGAATGTCCCAAATCTTGAGGGTTTTTTATTTTTTATTCATGGGCCTTCCAAGCCTATGTTGTCTCCCGAGCCACAAACTTTCAACCATTCCGATTTTGTTGTGCGATGAATTTTGCTTTTATGATTTAAGCGCTCTGGGGTACTCGGCAATAGAAAATCCCTATGCCAAACAATTTCACCATATTAATTCATGATTTCACTTTATACTTCTATTAGTTATTCCCTGGTATTCTAGATTGCCTCCACGATTTTACAAGATGTTTGGAAATGTTTTAATAGTTGTTTTTTAATATATTTTTATTCAGAAATATATTAAAAAAATATTTTTTTTAAAAAAAATTATTTTTAACATACATCAATATGATTAAAAAATATTTTTTTAGAAAAGATTTAAAAAAACATTACTATACACAACACCCCAACTGTTTGTTTTAGAATTTTATAAATATTTAAAAAAATAAAATTTTTTATTTTTATTTTTTAAAATTAATTTTTTTTATGTTTTCAAATTATTTTAAATATTAAAAAAATATTTTAAAAAATAATTATAATTATAATCTTCAACCCAGCCTTCTCGAATGCCATGGTTCGAAAGTTACATTCCAAACCGAGCTGAAATCCACAGGTAAAAGCCGAAATGTTGCTTGTCGAGTTTGCACTCAAAGATCCCTGGGAGGCTAGTACCGTATATTAATTGATACTTCGATGAGAAAAAACAGAGAGGAAATCTTTTAACTTTGAAGTGGTGGGCCATAATTCATAGATCACGTCAAGAGAGTGTGTTGGGCTGTTTTCCTTGCCGAGGGCCTCCAGGTCGTGATATTCTCATATACATATACATATACATATACATATGCCTTGCCATACCTCCAATGTGAAACAAACAAAAACCATATCAATTCCAAGACTAGTAGGGGAATCGAGAATCGAGACCCCGCAAAAAAGAGATGATAACAACCGTGCCAAATCTTTTTTTCTCCCAAAAAAGAGAATCTCCCGTACCGAAAGAAACACGGGCATAACTTGCACATTGGGCGGTAGATTACCCAAATTCCAGCTGAAAAGACATTCGCTTATTATCCCCTTTAAGGGCGGTCAGCAAGTAAAAGCATATTGTTTAGACCAGGCTTGGTAACCGGCTCAATTTAGAATCTAGATTTTAAAATTTTATATTTTTGTAATTAAAATAATATTATTTTAGTAAAAAATCAATAAATTATAATTAGATTTTTAATCGTATTTTATCAGATTAACCCATTAAATTATACTAAGATTTTCCTTTTTATATTTTTTTTCAATTCGATAAGATTCCAGCCCTATATAAGCTGGATCTCAGGTCAAATGCCAAAATTACGAGAAAAGTGTTGTGCTGTACATTGATTCTTTAATTATTAGAAATTAAAATTTTTCTTATTTTAAGGTTAATTTTGATATTTTTTAAAAAATTAATAATTTTTTATCCTCGAGAGATTTAACTCAACTAGGTAAATTCTAAATTTGCTTTTTAAATATCATCATTTTGAATTTTACAAATATAAAAGTCATTAAAAACTTATATGATCGTTAACTTCAGGGTCTATAGGATTAGTCGAGACACGTGCAAACTGAGCCGGATACTCATGATAATTTAAAAAAATTAATAATTAAAAAAAAACTTCCATACCCAAAAAAAACCAACCAAAGAAAATATATAAATTCTATAGAAAAAAAAACTTTCAACACTCTACTAAGCCTAACAATTAATTCTATAGAAACAAAGCTTTAGAATTTACCCGTTAAGAGAATATCGAGTATAAAGTTATACTTATCTTATCATGCTAAAGATTAGTAGTTTGGTGAGTGGGGAATTTGAATTTAAAATTTCCTAGAATTGATTACTGATTGGACTGTTTGCGACCACCCCTAGATGACAAGGATTGCTGGGAGATCAAGGGGCATGGACAGGGAAGCATACCGAGTGAGAGACCACAGGTCTTGATAAAAAAAAATAAAAAAAGGAAAAGGAAAAAAATGAAATGAAGAAAGTAATGACTGGATATGATGGACGAACATGCTAAATAAACCAATTTTCACGACAAGCATGATTATAAAACAAAATTGAGTGGTTAGAACGTAAAATCAGCTGTTCATCATGTCACAATTCTCCAGTTTTCTCCTGTGTGTTGGGCTTTAGAGCAAACAGAGTGGCGGATTATGACAGAACACTTTCACCGTATCTCTGTCCCCAAGCTCCCGGTACCGCAATTTCACCGGATTTTATTTTCTCCTTTTTTAAAAAAAAATTTCCTGCACCCACTGAGAGAGCATAGAGAACACTTGAATAATCACCTTAAACTGCGTTTACAAACGTCACGAGGGATCTTTTTTTTTTTTGGGTGCTTGGGAAAAAATAAAAACATTGTTAAAAAAACACAGCTCCAGCAGCCCCACTTTTATTTTATCGAAATTATGTTTTAAACGGTGTTTTAAAATTTTTTAATTTTTTTATGTTTTTTAATTATTTTGATTTGTTTATATTAGAAATGATTTTAAAAAAATATATAAAATTTTATTTTTTTACATTTAAAACTAAAAATATTTTTAAAAACAATTATTACTATACTTTTAAACATTTTAATATAAATAACCCGAGTAGAAAATGAATCCTTGTTGAAATTACATTTTAAATAATGTTTTTTTAATAATTTAATTTAATTTTTTATTGTTTTGGTATGCTTAATAATTTAATTTAATTTTTTATTGTTTTGATATGTTTATATTAAAAAAAAATTAAATAAAAAATATATAAAAATATTTTATATATATTCAACAACTACCACTGTAATTTCAAATATCCTAACAAAAATAACCCAAGCACACCAGGCAGCATCTCTGGACGTTCCCAGCCTAGCTAAGAAATCAACAACGTTGCTTACTTCTCTCGACAAATGTTGCACACCACACCACCAATCTGTATTAAAGCTTGTTTAGTAAAATAGTTATAGTCGGTTTTTAAATAATTTTTTATGTTAAAATATATATTAATAATATTTTTTTATTTTTTAATAATTATTTTTAATATCAACACATTAAAATAATTCAAAATATATAAAATTATTTTTAATATAAGCTTCTTAAACTATTAAATTTTAATAAAAAAAATAAATTTAATAGGAAAGTAGTTATAAAATATATTAAATTTTAATAAAAAAATTAAATTTAATAAAAATATAATTTACACCATATTCTCAAATATTAACTTAATCATGAACTTGATATCCTCGGCGAGCAAATAACAGGGATGGACTATGTTAAAATGACCAGTTACTGCCCTCACCGATTCATAAACACGAGGAGAGAGACCGAATATTTCAAAGTTACGTGCCATTAACGAGTAATGACTGTCTCTGTGTTAAATTGAAGTCCATGGCTGGGGAGCGAAAATGCTGATTTACATGATTTCTGTGGTATTTACAATTCAGCACTAGCAAATGGGCCCGCTTGCAGCCATCCACTCACGAATCAAGTTTTTATATTTTATTAATTTTAGTTGATATTTAAACGAATTAAAATCAAATTTAAAAATATTGATTACGTTGAAAATAATAAATCACGCGTATTGGCTTTCACGTTTAATTTAACCGTGGACTCATTGCTTGATTTTTTTTTTTCATCATGCTTTTATTTTTTATGATTTAATTATTTTGTGCCTAAATTAAAGATAAATTGCTTCAAATATGTCGAGGAGGGGCAAGATTGAATAGAAAATGACCTAAATAAAAAAGACAGAAAATACAAATTCAAAATTTGATCAAGAGATTTACCTTCGTCTTAAGCTCTATAGGTGAAACAATTTCGGTGTCTCACGATTTAAAAAATTTAATGTTGGTCTGGAACTTTATCTTTTTAATTTTTTAATTTCTAGTTTGAGTGGAAAGAGAGGGGGTTATTAGATTCCTATAAAAAATAAAAAAAATCTTGATTAGTATCAATTTTAATCATAAAAAATAATTAAATTTAATATTAATAGATTTCAGAAAATTAAAAAAGTTTTCACTCGAGTGTTCTTTGTCCTCCTTGTATTAGCCTGAAAAGCTTTTTTTTTTAGCGAATGATTAAATTGTTTAAAGTTGCTGATGAATTTATAAAAGTGTTCGAATTATAAAATGTTTGTTGTATATTTTAGGTAGGAATAAGCTGAGAATAGAATTTATAAGCAAAAAATAAACCAAATGTTTGTTTTTCTAGCAATTTTATTGGTGTCAAGAACTAGATTCAGTTCAAGAAAACAACTATTACATGTTTTTTTTTATCACGATGTCTCAATTATTTTTGCTGTATCACTTTTTACATGTGATTAGTTCTTCCTAGTCCAAGAAAACAACCATTACATGTACATTGAATAATATATATATGGATTTATGTAAAAACAATAGCGTAATTGGAAACACAAAAAAAAGACGGGAATAAACTGTAGAATCTAACAAATTAAAAATCATAAATAAATAAATAATGAAAAAAACTAAAAACATCTGGAAAAAAGAAGAAAGAAACTGGGCTCGGTGCTTTAGGCCCAGACGCAACAAGCGTAGGCTGAACCCGGGAGCCCTGTGCTTTTTTTATTGTTTTAATTTTCATAAAAGAAGTCCTTGATTATTTAAATAAAAAATTGACATGGCATCCAGCCTGAACAATCCATCGCCTTCCGATTATTTAAAAATCGAGGCCCACTGTCCATGGGTACCTTCGGTAATTAGATTCCCCTTTCATTTTCTTTTTTCTTTTTCATGAAAACAAAAAATAAAAAAATAAACTTTATTTCTGTCCCTGTATATTGATCCATCTTGCACTTCTACCCACAGTCTAGCTTTTGAGACTTTTTTTTTTAATGTTTTAAGATTTATTTGAGATATGTAATTTACATGGCGATTTGGGAGGAAAAAATAAATAAAAAAAGAATAAAAATAAGAAAAGGTGAGCATTTTGGTAATTATTCAGTAGCAAAAGGTAAAATTAAAACTTCTTAGAAACTATGGAGGTCACATCGGGAAACTGGATACCATGAAGGCAGAAATGAATCATTGACGAATATGCAAGGATAAAAATATAGTTCGAGGAAAAGAAAAAATAAAAAACAAAAAAGAGAAATTGTCCTACGTGGCATGCGCATCTAGATTCGATTTCCTTTAGTATTGTGGCCGAACTAAAGACAAATTCCCTTTTCGTAGTTTTTGATCTTTCCCCCTTCTGTAAATATCTAAGGCAATTTGCTAAACGAAGAATATATATATTCAAAACCCTCTCTCCTAATTGCTGATAAATCTTTCCCATCCACGCTCGCTTCTACTGCGGCCTTTATCTCTCGCTCTAATCTATGGCCGCATCTCAAGCAATTCTCCTCTTGCAAAAGCAATTGAGAGGTCAGCCAAGAAAACAATTATTTAATTGGTTTTCTGTTTTTCGTGTCAAAGTCTTAATCTTTGATCATTTCTTGATTGATTTTCCAGATCTCTGCAAGAACCCAGTTGATGGATTCTCTGCTGGCTTGGTTGATGAAACCGACATGTTTGAATGGAGCGTTTCAATAATTGGACCTCCTGATACCTTATAGTGAGTAATTTACGAGTTCGAAGTTTTGATCTTTAGATGTTTCAGGACTGATTATTGTTCATGTTTTGGGGGGTTAAAGATTTTGTTTCTTTTTTGTCCGAGTTTACTTTTCGGGTTTTGATTGTCTGATGTTGATGATGGTTCCATGTCTTGTTTCAGTTGAATAATGGTTAATTGATTTCTGTGATGACTGAACTTAATTTGCTTTTATACATTATACATCACTGAGCTTGGTGTTTCCTTCTCTATGGTGTGTTTCTGGAGGAAAAAAAAATCAAAATTTGTTAATGGAAGAGCTGTGGCTATGTTGGTTTTACCTTGTGCCTGATCCAATATAGCTGATCTTTCGCCAGATATAGACTTAGGGTAGATTAATGGCCTACATCGATGTATTCAAATCTTACATGTCATGATCCTAACGAGGAGAAAGATAGTTTTGGCCTACTGCTACATGTTTGAAACCAGGGCTTGGTTAAATTGTGGTATTTTGTTTGTAGAGAATTATATATGAGTTTTTTAGCATGCAAGTTATTCCATTATTCATGGGATGTGAAAGCCGGTGCTGTGTTGTTTGTTAACAAGCAATTCTCCTGTTGCAGTGACGGGGGTTTCTTCAATGCCATCATGAGCTTTCCAAAGAATTATCCAAACAGTCCTCCAACTGTCAGGTTCACCTCAGAGATGTGGCATCCGAATGGTGAGCTCTTTTCTTCTGTTGTTTTCAATCCAATATCTGTATTCATAGTCTAGCTACATTTTTTTCTTAGGATTCGTGCCTGGGCACATGTTTCTACATGTTTGCATTGTATATTTCAAACGAGTGAAGTTCTAAAATGTAGTTGGCTATCCCTGAACTGCAGTTTACCCAGATGGAAAGGTTTGTATATCAATTCTTCATCCACCCGGTGATGACCCAAATGGTTACGAGCTTGCAACTGAGCGCTGGAGTCCAGTCCATACTGTATGTGATGCTTTTATGCTTTTTATTTTTTTTTGGTTGCAGTATATATGTGTGTGTGGGTGTGTGTGTGTGTGTAAATTTCTGGCTGTTGCCAAGTACATTGCTTGCTTTCTCTCTCCTTTTGGTTTATCCTACAATCATGGGTGGGATTTTGGCTTGATAACTTTTTTTCTCGTCATTTGAATTTGTTGCAAACATTAAGAAGCTGCACTGTGAAATCCTATCAACCATATGCTTTTTTATTTTTAATTTTATAGTGACATGTTTGACATGCTGCTTTCTATTCCTATCCAACATCTACCAATGGAAGGCTGCAAGTGTTTGGATAACAATTTGTCACTTGCAGTTCTGAGTTACTGTCTGGTTCGAGGTTAAGGATGAATGTCAGAAGAGATATGTATATGGTAACTCTTTGCTTTCATGCATGATGACTTTAATCCACTTTGTGGCATGATCATGTGATGGTGGTTCTGATTGGCAGTGCATATTGGTGATGGGCAACTATAAGGACAGAAACTTGAGATGACTGCAAGCTGAATTTCATTTCAGCTCTGAGGGGCTTATTTCTAGCCCAGATTGAGGTGCTTTTTCCTGAGCCCTGGCACGACTTTAGTTTAGAAGAGGTCGCTTGTGTCGGGGTTGGTTAGCATTGCATGGCTCATTGGACATGTGAAAAAAGTAAACCAATCAATTTGAGAAGTAATGAAAAATTAGAAGTAGGAGGTCTACACGGTAAATAAAGAGTAAAACCAGAGCAGCATGGAGTGTAATTGATATTGATTTTATCCATGCAACCTGTTATTTTTGAAATGTTGTTGAAACAAGTAAAATATTTTGAGTGCAAAAGTAAAATATGAACCATCATACTTCAATCGCATATGACCTTATAAGAGAAGGAAGGCTAGAGAAAAGAAGGTTGTAGTGTAAACAGTGAGAAAAAATTAACCAGAAGGATCACCAGCAGAGGTGAGACAACATTCATTGAGTTTGCATGTGATGGAATATTAGAGGCAGAAGGATTGAAATTGTTGATAGCTAACATCAGGATTGCATAGCATTCGTGTCCTCTCTTGTTACATGCATGACTCTAATCTGACTCCTAATGATAATTTCACGTGTTTCTTGTTCCTTTGATAACCAAGATTTTGGTCCTTTGCATCACCAGCATGTTCTTCTCAAAAACTTGTACCTGATGATTTTTTGTGCCTTTTTATGTTGAGGCGCTGTTATTACTGAATTGAGGTTGACTTTATGTGATTCTAATTTGCAGGTTGAAAGCATTGTTTTGAGCATCATATCGATGCTTTCCTGTCCTAATGACGAGTCTCCTGCTAATGTTGATGCTGCGGTAGGTGTAGTTTTGTATTTTGCCATAAATATGTAATTTTACTCTCACTTCATTAGTTTCTTGAATAAGTATATTGAGTAACAAGTGGTTAAAATAAATATTTTAATCATTTGAGAAATTCACAATCGCGCAAAGAATTTCCAAGTTTCATACTGCAATCAATAAATACCTGTCACATTTTGCCTGACCTTTGCAGTGATTGGAATATGTTAACTGTGTTATTACATATCTCATCACGTAGATTTTATGCATCTTATTGCCACCATTCAAGCTCTCACATGAGATGCGTCTGTGTCTTGCATTAGTCTAGTCATGACTGGATCTTGAGGATCATGCATTTTTATTTTATTTTTTTGCTTTCTACTAATCTGGTTGATGCGCCTTTTCTTTTCTAACAATTGCTTGACTGTATAACTTCAGAAACAATGGAGAGAGAGTAGGGAGGAGTTCAGGAAGAAAGTGAGTCGATGTGTTAGAAAATCACAAGAAATGTTGTGACACTGTGTATATAGCTGCGTAGCTTTTGCATATCCCCAGTCAAGGGAGGAACTGGTGGCCAAGGGACCCTTCTGTGAACCATGTAAAATTTCATCAAGTTCTTGTTTTCCTTCCATTGTAACCTGCACTTTCTGCGCGCATATCTTTGGGTGACAATCATTAGTATTAGATATCTATATATGGGCTTGAAATTGGCATTTCCTGAACTTGTATGAAATCTATTGATATCTTATATCTTAATGGTTTTGTTTTCTTAATCTCGAAACGAGTTCAATAGTTGTTTACTTGTTAATTCTACCTTGATTCTTTCTACTACACAAGGGTACGATCCATGCGACAATTACCTTGTTGAGATAACCAGCAATCCACCCCCCCTCCAGACTGCTCTGAAAACACAGTTTATTAGAAACTTTTGTTAAAAACGTGGCTCTGATGATTTTACTCGGCGTCAAGGCAAAGAAAAATATTGAACATTGTTCAACTGGAAAACGATACGATCCATATGACAATTATTGTTTTCTTATTTTTCTTCGTAACCAATGAGTTGGGTTTTGACTGTAAAACGGACTGTCGTTAGCTTGGAGTATCTTTAAACCATACAGGTAATGAGTATGTAAATTGATTTTCCAAGTTATCATCTCAACTTTAAATTTTAAAAAATGTCATTGATTTTTTTTTTAAGAAACGTATCAATTTAAACATAGACGGATTATTTTAAATCCATGTAAAAATAAATCCAACTGAAAACTAATTAAAAACAAACATGGTTATTGAAAGATAACCTAGTATAGTAAATAATTAAATAATCAAAGCTCGAAATAATCACCTCAATTTACACGAATAGATGATGACAATTCATTGCTATGCACGTGCTCTAATTAATTTAAATTATTAAATATATTATAATTCTTTTTGAATTTATCAATTATTAAATATATTATAATTCTTTTTGATTAATGCCGGTTTGTTTTTGTATTTCAAAAGCGTTTTTTAAAAAAATTAATTTTATTTTATTTTTTATTAACTTCATATTAATATATTTTTAGTGTTTTTAAATTATTTTGATGTGCTGATGTTAAAAATATTTTTTAAAAAATAAAAAAAAAATTATTGACATGTATTTTAACGCGAAAATTTATTTGAAAAACAACATCAACCACATTTTCAAACAGTAATTTTTAAAAAATAAAAAATAATCATTGACATGTATTTTAACGTGAAAAGTTATTTGAAAAACAACATCAACCACATTTCCAAACAGCCAGTCCAATTTGATATCACATTTCAAATAGAATTTGATAAAATTATTATTTTTTGTTTAAAATTAAATTTTTATATATTTTTTAATTATTTTGATATGTTGATATTAAAAATAATTTTTAAAAAATAAAAAATAATTTTTAATATATTTTCAAATGAAAAGCAACCGCTATCACGCTTTTAAACACCCTCTAAAAGTGTATTTGAAATTGTGGTGGGTTGTTTTTTAAAATATTTTTTTATTGAAAATTTATTAAAATAATTTTTTTATTTTTAACATTAGCATATTAAAACAATTTAAAAATACTAAAATAAATTTAAAACTAAAAAACATTAAAAAATCTAAAAACTAAGGTATAATTCTTCAAACAAACACTATCTAAAAACCTGTTTTAGAATGTGATGAATCTCAAACAAATATTGTCTAAAAATCTGTTTGGAAATGTGATATAAATTGTTTTTAAAATTTTTATTTAAAAATATATAGAAATAATATATTTTTAAAATTTTATTTTTAATATCATTATGTTCTAAAAATAAAACAAATTAGTTTTAAAAAAAAAACAATTAAATGTCACATCATAAGTTTCAATTTTAAAACAGGGAAAGTATCCAGCATGGCCTCTCCATCATGGAAGTCAGAATCTCCTTGCTCATCTCCTCTATATAAATAAATAATTAAATAACTAAAACCCCATACCCTCATTCCTAAACCAAATAGATTTACACTTCACTCCTCTAATTTTTCTATTTTTTTTTCCCTCCCTTCTATTACGGCCTTTCTCTCTATCCGTAGCTCAAATCAAATAAAGAATCAATGGCCGCTTCTCAAGCTAGTCTTCTCCTGCAAAAGCAGCTGAGAGGTTAATAACCCCACATCAATCCTTTTTTTGTTTGTTTTTCGTAGAAAGTTTTAATCTTTGATGGTTTTTTTTTTTTTTGTTTATTGATTTTGTAGATCTATGCAAGAACCCAGTTGATGGATTCTCTGCTGGTTTGATTGATGAAACCAACGTGTTTGAATGGAGCGTTACAATTATAGGCCCCCCCGATACCTTATAGTGAGTTTTCATCCGTTCTTTAAGTTCTTGTTTTCTCTCTTTTGTTTTTTTTTTGAACAGATTCTAGGGCTACACCTTTTTTTATTATTTTAGTAATTGGTTTTAAAATCTTGTGTTGCTTTTCGGGTTTGAATTTGGTTTAAAGGGTTTTTATTAATCGCGATGATGCTATGAAAGGCTCCTTATCATGTCCGGACCTTTCTTGTTATCTGATTTTCAGTAATTATTTTTGGATTTCTTTCTATGAAGTTTACTTAAAGGTTTTGGTAATGGCTGACTGGTAATATGTTGTTCTTGAGCCTGTTAGATTTTCTTTAATCAATTGGATTATCAGCTGAACATAAAGCTATGAATGCATTCAGTTTTTAATTGATTTTGAGTCTTCTGCTTTGTTTTATTCCATTGCTTTCTGGTAACTTGATAGGCTGGTCCAATTACTTATACCCCGACTAGTCTGGAACCAAATCTTGGATGTATTTTGTTCTTGAGAATTATATCCAGAGCTTTTAGTAGCATTCAAATTTGTTGTATAATATGCTCTGACAATTAAAGGTGACATTGTGTTGTTTATTAACAACTTATTCTCATGTCACAGTGAAGGGGGTTTCTTCAATGCCATCATGAGCTTTCCACAGAATTATCCAGTCAGTCCTCCAACCGTCAGGTTTACCTCGGAGGTGTGGCATCCAAATGGTGGGTGCTTTTTCTTTCTTTATTATATTTGTTTGTGCCTGTGCTATTCTGTGTCCGTGCCATTGAAATGGAAAACTACTAAAATGTTGCCATCTCTGAACTATAGTTTACCCTGATGGAAAAGTTTGCATATCAATTCTTCATCCACCTGGTGACGACCCAAATGGCTATGAGCTTGCAACTGAGCGCTGGAGTCCAGTTCATACAGTATGTGATTCTTTGATGTTTTATATTACTGCATCTATTAAATTTCTTGCAGTTTTTATAAATATGGTGCTTGTTTTTTCCTGCCTTTTCTTTATCCTATTATCCACAGAGTGGAAGTTAAGTTCAGAATTGTTTTTTCCCTCTGTTCATATTGATGTAAACACTAAGAGTTGCAAAGAGGATAGGCGCTTTCTATGCTTGTGTCTTTTTTTTTTTTTTGAGATATGCTTTTTTCAACTCCCTAAGAAGGCTGCCATTGTCTGGACAAGCAATTTGTAACTTGCTCTTCTGAATTACAGGTTTGTCTAGGATAAAGATGAGTATTTTTGAGAGAGATATAGAAATGGTAGCTCTTTGCATTTATGCATAATTCCAATCCACTTTGTGGTGACCATATGATGGTGGTTTGGATTGGCAATGCATCTCAGTGATCAGCATCTTTTATAACTGAAACTTGAGGTGACTGCAAGACTTAAAAGCAACTCAGCTATGAGGGGCTCAATTCTAGCCCAGATCATGTGTTTTTTTTCCGGTTCTGGGACAACTTTAGGTTACAATAGATCATTTAGGCTAGGTTGATTAATATCGCTTAGCCTATTAGGCAACTCCAAGTTTCTCCATTATTCACTGTAGAGAGAAGCCAGCAAAGGTGGTGGTGTCAGTAAATAACATGATGAAGAATTTAAACTCGAGTGCATGGAGTGAGGGGATCCTTTTAGCTTTATAAATAGACAATATGACTATTAAAATTTAGACAACACTAGTTGAAAAGCTCAACATGTTTCACTTGCCAAAGGAAAATATCAGTTGATGTATTCCGATTGCAAAGAACAAGAAGCACAGCTTGTAATTGTATTGTGCTGATCACCAAATAGCTCTTTATGTTTCACCTCGCAACTCAGGACTGCACAACACAGTGTGGTCGAGGCCAATTAGGCTCCAAACATTTTACTTGGTGTTGTGCCTTATTTTGGTTGAGTTTATCTTTTTTTATAAACCTTTCTTATTTAGTGTCCTGTTTTTTGCAGGTTGAAAGCATTGTTTTGAGCATCATATCAATGCTTTCTAGTCCTAATGACGAGTCTCCTGCAAATGTTGATGCTGCGGTAGGTGTATATAATTATTTATTTGTCCATGAACGCCATTATTTTCACCGTCCTTTTTTCTTGAGAAATTTTTTAGATTGAAGTGGCAAATATATATGTTTTCACAAGAAGTTTCAAAATTAGCAGTGCAGGCAACTACATCTTATTGCATTGTGTATGGCGCCACCATTAATTATCTAGTGATGAATGTGGGCTGCATTTTATATTTTGCTAGTGACGCACATAAATTCCACGCTTACATTTTAACATTTTGTAATCGAACAACTTCAGAAACAATGGAGAGAGAATAGGGACGAGTTCAAGAAGAAAGTAAGCCGATGCGTGAGGAAGTCGCAAGAAATGATGTAATGCTGCAGTGCTTCTGGTGTCTGTATTCAAGAGAGGCAGCAATGTACCTTGTAGAATTCCCTTCACCTTTTGTTCTCAATCCATTATAACCGAACTCTTTCTGCACATGTTTTGAGTGACAATCATCAGGCTTAGATATTCATATTTTGGTTTAAACTTGGCTGTTCTGGAACTTGCATGAACCCGTTCTGTTTCTTTATATCTTTTGGTTTGAATTTCGTTATGTTGAAATAGATCAACGTCATGCATTTCCTCTCCTTTCTTCAACCACCGGATGTTAAAAAAAAAAATGTATCAAGATTGTAATTATTTTTTATAAAAATAAAATTATAATTTATAAATATTATTTTAATATTTTATATTTGTGATAATCCAATTAAGGAATACTAATTTTATTTCATTCAAATTAAAAATTATCATGAAAAAGTTATAATTTTAATTAAAAAAATTATATTGTATTTATAATAAAAATAAAATTTATGATATTAACGTAAAGAAAAACTAAACTTTTTACATTACACGAAACTTATTGTATGTAAAAGAAAAAAAAATATTGTTCATTTTTTTTATTCAGAAACAATGAAAAACTCGTAAAAAGAAATTAAAAAAATATAAAAATAGTTTTCTAGACCTAGAAATATTGGATATGAATTGGATGTACTGGTTTTTTCTTTTTCTAACTCTATTTTTTTCTTAAATAAAGTATTACTAAGTTTATTAACAATTTCTTTAATTTTCCAACATTATCTTCAACCATGAATAGTATTGAAAACTTACATCAGACAAAAAACTAATAAATGATATTTTGATTAATAGTACAGTATCCAATTATGGACATTAGGATGGAGGGATTGATAAATAAGAGTGAAAAGTTTTTATCATAAATATGGTCCGATGCCAGATTCTTGCACCAGCCGAATTTGAGATGGTAGTTGAACTTTGGAAAATTTATAAGGACGAAAATGAAGTTTACCCTCCTTCCTATTAAAAGCGAAAAAGCCCTCTCAGACTCTCCCAAGGTCCGGCGACCGTAACTCGGGCTTCGTGTCTGATCTCGCTACTGTGTTCCTCAATATTGGCTAAACCCTCGAAGCATCCCACTCCTCTCCCTCATCCTCCTCCACTCCAGTAAGCTTCTCTCCTTCATGTTCTTGGGTTAAATACCCACTACTATTTTAATGGTTGGTAGAGGTTTTTTTTTTTTTAGGAGATTTTTGCTTTTGATGTTGAATAAACTGAATATGCTCTTAGAGAAACCAACGACCCGTTGCCAAACACCAAAACCCATCACCTTCACATAGTTCCTGCAAACATTGCAATAACACCGTATGCGAAAATTGGAGTACTGGACATTTCTCTCTACCTGTTCGATAAAATGCCAGCACGAACAGTTGTTTCGTGGAACGCTATGGCTTGTAGTTATTCAAAATGGGGCAAGTTAAATGAGTGTCATTATTTACTTTCGCCAATGCACGGTTCTACTCTTATACTCAGTGAGACTGCATCTTCTATTGTATTAAGTGTTTGTGCTCATGTGGGGTTTGTTTTATGAAATCTGGGTCTGAGATTTTGAGCTTCTTGGGTGTGCTTTGTCATTTTTGTGCAAATTGTTCACTAATTGAAGGTGCTGAGTTGGTTTTGTTGAGTGACATGAGAGAGAGTACGACCTTAGTAAGCATAAACTGAATACAGAAGTTGAACACTTGCTCCCCAGACTTCTGCTTAGAATTTATTTGCTGAATTCTGAAAAAAATTAGGAGTATGGTTGGGTTATGATTCTTATCTTTGGTACTGGGGAACTGGGTGCTGCTTTGTGTCCATTTTTTCCCCTCCAATCTTGAATTTAGATGCTACTGAACTTTCACCAAACGAGCCATAGCACACAAATCAGAACATTTTAGGCATGGAGCCAGAATTGGGATCGGAAATCCACATCTGACTCATTTTTTCCGCACATTTGTTGTACTGCATATGCACTCTAGACACTATGTTAACCAACCTTAGTTTATGGTTGGTTTGGCTTCACAAAAACTCATGTTAAAAAGCTGGGATCATGTTGGCCTCCAACATGTTCCAACCTGCAAGTTGCATTTCTATGTCAATATAGTTGATAACTAAATATCCTACATGTTGAACCAGTGACCTGGAGTATGTGCAACATTGTTTACTGTTTACCTATACTGAATGCCTTCATTGGCACACTGCAATGAAACACATTGTTGGAACTCCAGCACACTTGAGTTTGTTCTTTCACATGCATATAGAAATGTAAAATTGATTGTTGCATCTTAGTGTTATACTACATGATGTGCTTCTTACCCTTGCAGCCTCTTTGGTTGAACTTTGAACTCCCAGCGCTGCACATTTGTTGTTTTTGCATTTAATTTGAACCCTTAGCCAGTAACCTTGACTATTAGGCACATAGCGCTGTCATTTCCTTATCATCCATTTTAGCTGGGCAGGTGATGAGGCTGGAATAAAAAAGTTAGAGATAAAATTGGAGGCATCCAAAATATTTCTTCATGGTTATATTTATTAAAAGCCCTTGGATTGAAACTAATAAACATCATATCATGTTATTTTGAGGATGTATTGAAATGAATTTCTTAAAGTTAGAGTTGATTTTCATGTAATGATAGCATGCTTGAAAATAATCCTATATGTTTATGTGATTGCAGAAGTGGAACCACATTCTTGCGCGACCTAAACGATGCCACTTAATTAATTACATATATCTACCTATCTGTGCAGGCATAAGGACAGGAAGATCAGTGACATTACGAAAATAGAGTGAGTGGAAATGAGGATAGTGGGATTGACAGGCGGAATCTCGTCGGGAAAGAGTACTGTCTCTAATCTTTTCAAGTCCCATGACATTCCTGTCGTTGACGCTGATATAGTTGCTAGGGTGAGTATTCCCTTTTTTTTTCTTTCTTTCTTATCTTTAACTTTGGTTGCATTACATATATATCTCATCATTTGGTAATTTTGACCCATGATTCCTTTTTTTGGATGGCATAATCTGATTCTTGCATCAGTTTCATGTGCAAAACTGTCAAATTTTATAATTGTTCATGCCTACTTAAAAGAATTATTCAAAGCGGATTCAGTTGGTGTTATGAATTAAATGGATTGCAGGATGTACTGAAGAAAGGTGCAGGTGGATATAAGAGGGTAGTTGCAGCGTTTGGAGAGGACATATTGCAAGCTAACGGGGAAGTTGATAGGCCAAAACTGGGCCAGATTGTGTTCTCCGACCCTGGGAAGCGCCAGCTTCTCAATAGGTACAGTTTAGTTAGTGGTGTATGTGTGTTTGATGAATAACAAATACGTTATATTTATAGCATTCGGACCGTATGGAATAGAATAGAATATATGTATGAAACAAATTATTGAAAAGAATGGCTGTGTTTTAATTTTTAAGTCGTAGCTTGCTAAACTGGATTTACTGAATGTTTAATGAAATGACATCATCTCAAGTTTTTCATATTTTCATGTCTATGCTCTAATAATTTAGATCGGCTCAACTTGTACATGAAAGAATATATGAAATTTCTCTGTGGAAATGCACATTCTTTTGGCTTGAGTTGCAATGTATAGATTGAGGAAGCATGCAAAGCATAGTTTGCACCAGTTTTCCCGGTCTATCAAGTGAGATAGGAACCAAATTCTTTGTTTAGTCGTATTGGTACTGTTTATTTGGTTGCTTGTTGACAGAAAATATTCATTAGAAGATAAATAAATATGAGCTGATTTTATTTTATGAAGAAGCATGAGGTTAACATGTCATTTTTGCCTGCCAAAGTAAACTCAGTTCACGCTCATCAAGCAGATTTTATATGTCTTAAAGAAATTTCCTTTGAATTGTGAAGTTATACACCTGAAGTAATAGTACGTATGACTTGATTTGTCCTGCTTGTATCCAGCATTTAATCTCGTTATCTCTCTATGTCTGGGGTATTATGCCACGAAAAAAAGAGCGTTAGTGGCCATGCCTAAATTTGCTAGTGGATTCTAGATTGTGATGGTGTTCTATGGAACAATGTCACAGAATTGCATGTTACGCTCCTTCTAATGCTTTGCCTATTGAATACTTTCAGGCTTTTGGCTCCTTTTATATCCTCTGGCATCTTTTGGGAAATTATAAAGTTGTGGTTGAAGGGTTGTAAGGTAATTGTCCTAGACATTCCTTTGTTGTTTGAAGCCAAGATGGATAAGTGGACAAAACCCATTATTGTTGTTTGGGTTGACACTGAAACTCAGCTTCGGCGACTCATGGCAAGAGATAGAATCAATGAGGAGGATGCCAGAAACAGAACAAATGCTCAGATGGCCCTGGATTTGAAAAGGTCCAAGGCTGACATTGTCATTGATAACTCTGGCACCTTAGAAGACCTGGAGGAACAGTTTCAGAAGGTATTAGTCCAGGTTACAAAGCCTTTGACGTGGACTGAATTTTGGCTTTCAAGACAGGGAGCCTTCGCGGCTCTTGCGTCCATTATTATCGGAGTTGTTGTTGGCAAAAATGTTCTTAGCAAATTATAGTCGAAATTCTTAATTTCTATTGCCTGACATTTGCCATGTGTTGCCCCCCTGAAAAATAGATTTGGTTTTGTTTAGAAATATATTTATATAATGGAGATACGCACGGGTTAGTGCTTTTTATCCTTAACCCACCCATGCTAATGTCATTGATTGGTCTTGTTCGCCATTAGTTTCCTTTCCTCCTTAATCTTTGAATGATTATAGACCAAAAAGCAAAAGAAAAATGGATTGAAAAGTGAGAAAATAATTACTAGGTATCGAAGCAAAGTACTGAATAAGTCATACTAGTATATGGTTAGAGTTTTTGGTGGAGAGGTAGAAGAAAGAGGGAAGGCGAGTAGCTGTTCCCTTTTTTTATTAATTTGATAGACTTGTTAATATTAAATGACTCTCCCTTGATTGATCTCTCGTGACACTTCATCCAAATATATTATGCTGTGTTTCGTCCTAAGCTGTAGATACTGCAATAGTACATGAGTTTTAGTCCCTCGAAGATGCTTCTTAGCTAATCCCAATCCCAACACCAAAACTATAAATCCTCATTGAACGTGAAATTTCATGGATGCCGCCGTTCCTCTGATAAAAATGAAAGTCATTCGCAGGGTGTCAGCCACACCTTAACATTTTCAGCGTGCATTATTTTTAAATAAATTCACTTGTCACCTCTATGTTTTACTAGTCTCTAAATAACTAGAAAGAAAGCAGATTAACTTCTTTTTTTTACTCACACCAACGCATTGAAAAATCATTCCACACATGCAGAGCACAGCTAAAATGTCTCCAACATCAATCAGAATATAATAAATCATTTACCATGCAATTTATCAAAGTTAAACTTGATCAATCATGTAGATTGACCCAGTGATTTGTCGACCTAGATTCTAGTCTGAGTAAAGTTTTATATCAAATCTGTTAAAAGTTAATCTGATTAAATCTAATTAATTTATATCGGTCAATTTATGATATTATTAACTTGATTAAAAAATTAATAAAATAATCAAAATAATACTATCTTGATTAAAAAAATAAACTAAAATAACACTATTTTGAATTAAATCAAATCAACATGTATTAACTCACTTAATCTACAACCAATATATCATATCATAGGCTAGGTGAGGGTTTATACCTAAGTGCCAAAGATTAAATCAATCAGTCAGCTACCATCTCTGTCAAACTTCCATAAGCAAAGCACAATGCCCCGTGATGATCAAGGCCAGCGAGTCTCAAAACATAATCATACATATCTGCAAATAAATTCATATTTACCAGAATTGCTATTGTTTTCAAAATTCATCATACAAATGACCATGAAAGTTTTTTTAATTATTGATTAAGTGATAAAAAAACTTCACACTAGAATTTAGCTTTTTCTCGATTGTGGTTTTAGACTTAGACTTAAAATGTAGGCTTTGCATATAAGCTTAGTTGTTGGGCACTTGGGCTTAATATATAGCTAAAAATTCACTTGAAAAAACAAGTTTTTTTTAAAAAAAGATTTTTTAATCTTAAATTAATAAATATATGAGAAATAAAATATATATATATATATATATATAAATATATATATGAGAGTGAT